CTTTATGTTTATTAATATTAGCTCTTTTGGCAAATAGCTGGTTTGATGGCGCTGATTTAAAGGATAGTGATGTCTAATTTCTCATTTTATAGACTGAAACAATTAGGAATTAAAATAGTCGAAAGACCAATCATAATAAAGATAACCAACATTTCAGTAGCAGCAGCCATAAGGCAAATGAAGATTGCAGTTGTTGTCAGATTTGCGCTCCAAACTAATCTGGACTGGCAGGAAAAAGAGAGTGCAAACTGGGTATCTTTTTATTATGGAGTAGGAGAGTGACTTGTGCTAATTTTAAGTGATCACAATTCCCAGTCCACAATAAAATAGTTCAGATCTCTGTATAATGCACAGTCTAATGATCTACCAGGTGAAAACACAAGAAATGACTAAAACAATACAGATTTATCCTTATTGTGGACAACTTTAAAAAACATTCTCTCCACTGTTAAGTGAAGCTGCCAAAGCCATGCATGGATACTTGCAACTACTACGGATATTCTATGCAGCACGCATTTTAAAAAAAAAGGAACCTTTTCTGTGTTTCATCAGGTGTAAATGTTAGGGATGTCCCTGAAGACGCTAGTAAGCATGAAAAGCAAATAGCAGGAGTTTTCCCCACCATGAAGCTCTACAGTCTAATGTGTCGCAATGCCGTGTATGGAAATGATTGATGTCAACAGTTCCCTCTTAATCACCTGAGAGGTACGCAGCCTCTTGACAGTCTGGCAGTCATTTTGGATTCTTCTCTAATGACTAGAGGACAGGTTGCAGATGATGTTAGCTGATGCCGGCCTCACGGATCACTACCATTCTGTCAGTGATTAAGTGACTCATCTACCTCTAGTAAACAAACCCCCAGTAAAGCATCTTGCATCTATCAAAAGATGCCTTTGACTCTGTCGGCTTATCTAACTTGGAAAAAATCCATCATACCTGTACAAAACCGAGGATGCCGTGTGGTCTCTTGGGATACGTCCCATAAACAAACAGATTCTACTAAGACTGCAGCTATATAGGTGTAAAGGGAGCATTCGGATCCCCCATTACATTTTTTACCACAAAACGGTGTACCATTTCCCTGTGTGTTTCTTTTCAGATATTTCAGATATTTATGACCTGGTTTCTGTAGCTTGACAAGTTGCCTATAAGTTAGCAAGTAAGAAAATAAAACTAACACTTTTTGATTTCATATTAGTGGGGGGGGGGGTATTAAAAAGGTTTACGTAAAGCCAGGCTTTTGGTTATACTGCTAGGGGAAACATAGTAAACAGAGACCTTTTTATGAAAACACAGCTGAGAAAACTGAGCTTTAAAACCAGTTATACTGCTTGGGACATATTATACACTTGAGGAAATCTTTTGTCAATCTTACTAAGGGCTAAAATTGTAGTGTCGTGCATCCTCAACAGCACAGTCCGTTCTGTACAAAGCCCAAGCAATGCACTTTAGTCTTTATTGATAGCTGTGTGAGTAGGACAAGTGTGGTGATGTAACAGATCTTTCTTAAATTGCATGGGCAGCATTGTTGGTCTGGACAACCCCTGAGGCTCAGTTTGATTTCAGCAGATTAATTTAGGTTCCTCTCTTACGTAACGCCATCTCAGCTTTCAAGCAGTCTCACTGATCTCAGGATCACCTTTGGCTTCTTGCATGGGTGGCTAGCTACTGAACTGCACTCCCATGATAAGAGTGGAAACAACACTGCACTGGAAAAGATCCTTGAACATCAGAATAAGACCTGAGAGCAGTTAAGCTGTTTGACAGCAGACCGCATTAAGAGGCAGCGCAAGTGAAATGGTGATGATGGATAGCAGCTTGGTTGAATCCCTTAATATAGCATGTTTTGGTTGTAAAAGATCAAATGGACACAAAGGTATGAGAACGATGCAGAGCATGCGTTTGATGCGGTTAAGCCACTGGCTAAAGAAAACAACAAAGTTTTGACTGCGTCTCCTCAGGGGAGGTTGCAGCCACTGAATGAAAAACATCTATTGAAAAATGACTCGGATAATTATAAAACTTCATCATGCGTTCAGAATAAATTCAGATTTTTAAGAAATATTCACCCTGGAAGGGATCACAGCAAATATTTGTGCAGGAAAAGACAATCAAACCATCACCTTTTAACAGGGTAGTAATACTCAGGTGCAGAAGTAACAGTTGTGATGCTGATGTGTGCAGGAACATTATTATGATTAATCCATTAAATATTAAAGACATGGATTCTCTTTACATAAAGGATGAAATCAGATCACAGCGAGCTCACTATGTGTGTCTCAAAGTGAATGGAGGGCAGTGTCTGCCGTGTCAGCTGAGGAATGAGGTAATAAGACAAGACTGGTTCGGCTTACAGGAATAGACATAAAATGTTACGAGAAGTGAAATCTGTTATCATACCATAGATTTTCTTAAGCTGAAAGTGAAACAAAGAAGACATGTTTAAAAATGGACTAAAACAGACTTCTGATATGCTGAATCTCATATATCTATTAATGTAAATAAATACCAACTAAATACCAAAAGCTGACATTTTTCCAAATGAATCAAGCTCCGGTCTCTGATGCGGCCTTCGGTTTTTAAACATAAAAGTCTGTTTACAGTGCTTAGGAAATGCATTTGGGAGAAAATCTTGATGAAATCATCTGCGGCTCTGAGGGAGGTGCATGAAATCTGATAAATTGCTTCCAAAGATGTCACTTGAATCAGGAATTGGTTGGATATGAAGACTCTCAGCTTATAATGTAAATTAAATCTCATATTCGGGAAGAAGTGAACATAACAGCCGTCATCAGTGCTGGAGATTAGCATCTTGAGGCCACATCAGGCACCTGCAGCGAAACCTCTGACTGAAATGTCTTGGAGTGAGTTGTTTGGCTGAGTAGAAACGATTTTGCAACGGTCCTAAATTTGAGTGGAGTGGAGTACTCCCTCTGTACTAAAGTAGTCCTATGTAAACTTAGTGGTGAAGCCCTTTAACACTCCTGAAGCACATTATCTAATCAGTGATGCACATTATCATTATTATCATCATCATCATTATTATTATTATTATTATTATTATTATTATTATTATTATTATTATTATTATTATTATCATCATCATCATCATCATCATCAAACAATTGATCGCATCTTATTCTGCCTTTTTTTCTTTTTCTTTTTTTAAACTGTCCTGCACATTTATCTCAAAAGCCAAATCAAGGTCACCCAACCAAGCCTTTCTCCACACTCCGTGGAGTCTATTCACAGCTCCTCGTACAATTTGTCTTCTGTTAAAAAAAATAAAATAAAAAAAAACTGCTGGCGATCTATAATTCCCACCTGGGCAGATTGTGTAAGCCCACAACAGGTGAAATTTGGCTCAGCTTTTAAGCATCATTAAGAATCAAAAAGCAGCCTTCTGTTAAAGGAAATTGCATGCCAGTTTGCAATACCAGACTTTGATGTGTCTGCCCATATTTCAGGCTAAGTGTTTGCTGAACTGCAGCCAACCCCTGAGACAATACTGGCCTTTTGAGATATACCATGCTCTTGAGCAGTGACGTTCTCAGGCTATAGAGGAAAGCTGATAGCCAAGTGATCCTTTAGCTGACTGAGGGCTGAGGCTTTTCGCTTTAAGCCATCAATGTGAGGATAAAAGTGATCAATATGGAAAAACTAGAGTAGAAACTGTGGGATTTATGGCTGCTGGCCTCATTCACATTATACACAGGCATAGATTGCGTAAAGTATGATCTCACATTCCAGAAAACCCCAGATTTAATTGTAATTGTAAAACGGAAAAATTCTCTTATTATACCAATGGGACTTTCATTTAAACATATGAATCCGAGTTTGGGTTGAAGGCAAGTTGACTGCATGTCAAACGAAGTCAAACTCAGACTTGGATCCACAGAGTGAGACATTCCACTGATTTGATTGTCTTGGAAAAACACCCCAAACATCTCATTACCTGACATCATCCCTACTGTCGTCTATCCTGTTGGGATGAACACCACACCACATTGCTCTTGTGAAAGAACAAGAGCAATGTGCTGGTCAGCACCATGAGGCCAGTGAACCCCAGATAGCTACACTCTGGCGCTGGATACCAAACAGCCCATCACGAGATAGCACGCTTCTCGCTGTCAACCACACCACAAGAAATAAGGTTAAATGGCATTATCTACACAATATGGGAGCCTCTTCTATTTTTATTACTGGTGCTGACAGCCTCTTTTGTTTAGAGGGAGAGGCAGTGCGGTTCTTGGAAATGGTTATAAATAAGTACTGAGGCAACCACAAGGATTCCTATTTGTCCGTTTGCATTGTTTTCAAAGGCTGGCTTGGTTATGATGTGTTTCATAAATACAACACAGTCACCAATCCAAACACACTTGAGATGGTTTAGATTGATGAAACACTGCTGTTAATAATTGGGACGGACTGGTTTGCTTCACATTTCTTTGATGTAATGACCCTTTAAGCAGCACGGCGGAAACGTAAGAAAAGATTTCAGACATTTTGAAATTCTCCCTTCAGGGAAATTTCTTTGATACTAACGGCCATGCTAACTATACAATCTGCCTAATCTCCCACCATCTTTTTCCACTGAGCCATTTGGCCGGTGTGGGAAAAGCAGTGCAGCTGTATGTAACATCACCTTTTAATCACTTGATGAAAAAGCAGCAGATGCAGAGTGTTTTTCCAGTGGCAAAGCATTACACCAAGAACACAAAGAGTCTGCAGCAATGCTATCAACTCTGTAAGTGTCTACCCAGGCAGAGAGGTGCTGTGAGATAACTTCTAGCTGATGTTTAACAGTATAATGTTTACCATTTCAGCTTAGCCTCCTTAATGGGTCTCATGAGCTAATGCAATATCATTACAACAGCTGTAAATAGAGCACAAATCAAACTTAGAACTGGCAGGAATATGAGTAGTTTTAAAGGTTTTTGGGAGTAAATAAAATATTTGAGATAATAAAACGTAGACCTGCCTCTGAATGCATGACTCACCTAGCAGTTGGACCCCCCTAGTGAGGCCATAGACGTCTATGAGAGCCCAGAGGGGTTCTGAGACATGTACCCCACTGAAGAACAGTATGGAGCTGGAGTCGTTGATTCGATAGAACACCCGACCCTTCTTATCTACCCAAAACGAGATGACGTTTCCCTCATTGGAGAGCTCCTCTGGAAGTGCTTTTGCCCAGAACCCACTTTGGGAGACCAGGTCAGGGCAGGCATACTTGGGCAGGGTGTCTGGATTGATCCTTGATGGGTCTTTGGATGTAAAACCAAGACGTAGAGCACCACTCCAGCAGCACTGCTTTTTAGTGATCTGGAGAGAACATATTTTAAATCAATGAAGATAATTTAATTAAGATAAATATGCAAGATACAATATGAGCTAAAAAGAATAAAGCCAAATTTGGGCCGGCATAGTTTCTGCTGAGTTGCAGTGATACTACCTGCACTGCACTGTGATTAATTCATGACATTCAAAGCTTGCATTTGGGTAATTTTTTACCTCCACCCAGTCATAATTATAGCTGCAATTACCTTTAAAGTGGTATGACTGTGTTTTGTCAGTGCCAAGAGCAGCTAGTCCTAGATTATTGTGAAATGTGACTTCTTTATGAAAATGGATACAATCCAAAATGTTTTGCCTGATAGATCGGAGCATGTTAGCACCATGACAAATGGCCTATGGGAACCATTAGAATGGCAGAAACATGTACTGGGCATTAAAGGCATATACTATAAGAGCATTAAGATTAAAATATTGTCCAGAAATATCTAGAGTCTACAGACACATATGCACTTGTTGTGCAGTGTCGCTTTGAGTTTAAGAATGTCACCATGGTAAAAATGTCCAACTGATGATAATCATGTCCAACAGCTTATCTTCTAGCATGCCAACAGCTGATGATTACACCACTGTACCAATTGCAAGCCAGTATACCAATTAAAACTGGTAAGGCTTAAATTAACCACTATGGCTGTTAATGTGTTTGAAAGATGGATATAACAACGGTGACATCACCCATTGTTTAGTGAAGTCTCATGGTGAAGCCTCAGCAGCACGTGGAAGACATTACAGAGAAAGTGAGTGATACCATGCTACTCAATACTCACATGTGACTGGCAAGTCATTGGCCCATGAGTGTACTCATAATTTACAAAATTTACTTCAGGTTTTATTCTGTTTGTTCTGAAACTAGCACTTGTTCCAATACAATCATCCGGAAAGTGGAGGCTGTTTACTACAGGAATAATTTGTACTACCAGAGGCACTTCCACCTTGGCTTCACTTTTCAGAAGAACAAGAAGCAACATCCATGTCTTGTCTATTCCTCAAGCCATCAAATTTCTAAACATGGGCAACACATGGCCTGCCCAGGTGGTTTAGCCAAAACAACCTCAAGGTGCAATGAAAGTGTCCCTACGTATTGAAAAAGATGTGTTTGCTCCATGTTGGTGTATGGAAATGTGATTGCAAAAGAATTTCCCTGTGCGGGCAAATAAACCTTATTAACGTTATCGCTCACATGTGGTCCACAATGCTGACATAGAGGGAGCTGTAGCCGATGGTTGTCTGCTTGAACTCTCCTGCACTAATTCAATTCACTGAAGTGGACCTCTCAACCATGTTTGTGCTGTTTGTGCCTCTTGGAGCATTTTGAAAGAAACTATCTGCGAAATAATATGGCCCGCTGCATGGCGAAGCCTGTCTAAGCAAAGCTAACATCGAGGCTTTGAAATGTGGCTACATCAATCATTTACATAGAGTTACTGAGGTTATTTTTACTTATCTTGAGGAATTTAATTTGGTTTGGCTGGATGAGTGCTTAAGAAAATAGATGGACGGATGGACTTCTATGTCTGTAAGTTTCATGCCAATTTATCCAATAGTTGAGATATTTCAGTCTGAACAAACAGACAGCACAACATTCCCATCATAGTGCCAAACCACTAGCAGGGCTAAAAAAACAACTTATCACTTTCAAGATTGGTTACCTCGGTATGTTTATCACCTGCAAACGATTTTTGTCTTATTTCGAAGCACTATTTACTTTGCATTTACTGTGCCAGATAACAGTGTTCCTCACATGGCAGTGCTTGCCCTACTCTCTCACATTCGAGACATAGATGGCCTGATAGGTGAAGTGGAAACTTGTTCTAAGCTGCTGCCGCTTTGGCCCACACAAGAGCACAGAGAGGAAAGAGAGAAAATGAAAACAGGAGAGTGAAGAGCTGGGATGAAGAAAGGGAGGCAGACAGGCAGGGAGAAGAAAATGAAAACATGCTAACAGAATTAGAGGGACAGAGATAAAAGAGGACTACTTTTCATCACACTCACAATTTGGATCTTCCCAGTAATTGACTGTAATAATATCAGAAAGTACAAGATGTGCTAATCTATGGTTTTGTAAAGTAACTTTTTTGTTACAGGAAATTATGAAAATGACAACCAGTTGTGCTCTAGTTCTGGTGTCGGACTTTGGACTCATTGTGCAATAGGTCAATTTTTAACCCAGTCATTTTCTGTGTGTAGCATACCGGGGCTCCAATAGTAATTATCCCTGTGAATACAAATGGCATTCGAATAGTGCATCGTTTACCTTCAGTCGAACCTGCTCATATACAGCGATAGGTCTGTTGCTGAAGGTGATGGCATTGCAGAAGCTGGCCTGTCTCTTGACAGTTCTCTGAGACATGTCCATGACGATCTGCGAGCCCTTGGTGCTTGGGTGGAAGAGCAGAGGGAAGGAGGACAAATTTCCACATGGCTGGATGGGAAGGCAGCGCTTGGGCTTGTGGTGATATCGGTGAGGTCCTGCTGGAAACGGTCCATTTAGGGAATCTATGTGAAGAATGAGAAGCGTAAGAGTTGGTTATTTTGGTCAAGGGTTGAGGGGGAGTTAATTTTCTTGGGGTGCAATTTACAGTAAAATACCCAAATATTAGATTACATTTGACTGCAGTATTGAATCAGGCTGTCTGTACCACTGCAGGACCACACTGGCTGGTTCATTCTCCTGAATTATCCAATTTGGTAACAAAAGCACTCAGAGAACCCAACTTTCCCCAAAGGGCAAGGGCTATAGTTGTATAGTGTTGTATTGAGAAAATAAAAAGCGTGTTGTATAGCTCTCTCCATGCCCTTTTTCCATGCCCATATATATGATATATGATATTTTGCAAGGTCAACTTGCAACAATGACGGTCAAGTCAAATGCTTATCCAATTTTGGTACTCCAAGGCCTAGTATATTGTTGTAGAGTTCATGGGTAACATAACGTTTGGACTGATTTTCACATTTGGTGTGACCTTGACCCGATTTTCACAAAAACTAAATCAGCTTGAGTTCTTGTTGGTAACTACCGTCACGAAAAATTTGAAAATGAAATCTTAAAAACTTTGGATGCTAGACTGCTAACAAAGAGACAGACAGATAGACAAACAGAAGCAATTACATTTATTTAAGCAATTTAAAGCATAAGTCTGTTTCCATCTTCTCACGGTAGCACAGTAATAGCACCTGTATTGTAAATTAGAAGCTAAATGTCCTTGGATTTAAAAAACAAAACAAAAAAAAACAAAAAAAACAACAACACAAACCCAACAGCACAAAGACAGACCTGCTCTCCTGGCACCGTAATTTAGGAGAACAATGCAGCTGCGAGAAGTCTGTGCAAAACACTCTCATTTCAGTAAATGGTCATTTCCGGTAACACCGAAATCTCACTTTTGTTATTCTACATCTTTCAAGATAATCATCTGATTTGTGTTGCATTTGGGTTTTTTTTTATTTCTGTGGAAAACTTTTTGTTTGATAATCAGCAGAAAGCGGTAAAGGAAGCAGAAGGAGGCGGAGGACAAAGAAAAAAAAAAAAAGATCAACTTACACACAAATAAGACCACAATTAGCCAAGGAGAAAATGACCTTTGGGATCTTACGGGAGTTCTTGATGCGTGTATGTTCAGCTGGCGAATACAGTATATTCAAAGCTACACCAATAATAGTGAGGAATGGCTGTTAACATGTTATTTCCAGTTACGGCTCGTGTTTTAATGAGCATATATCAATTTTATCATAAGTCTTTATGTCTGAAAGTCACGTACATGCGACGCTACAAAATCAGTGGTGCAAAATGTGAGGCATTTATTGTGATTTGTAAGTCAGAGGAAGTGGTAAAAAAAAAAAAACTCCACAGGTACACAGTGAGTCACACCATGCACCCGGGTTTCTCGATTTTTTCCCATGTGAAAATGTGAACAACTTGTCCCACTTACAGTAACTCATAAAAGAGAACCAGCTTTTTTTTTTCCAAACGTCCGATCTCAAAGCCTTCATAATCATGATTCACACGGACTCCCTCTCATTTGGATCCACTCTCCCCATTCTCATTTCCTACATTCCTCTTCAAAAGGACCACACCAAGGTCACTGTGGTTTTAATGGAGGAGGTGTTTTCTCACAAACTTTGGCTCACTCAAAACACAACTTTTTATTCTACTGATAACACAAATAACTTTTATCTCACGACGCGGTTTGATACAGATTTTATTCCATAAAACGCCGACCTCATCTACAGCAGCATTTCAGGGTTTTAAAATACCATCAAGCACGAAGTGTGAACAAAATAAATAATTTAAGCCTCATTAACGCTTCTTCATCCTCGGGAACTGGTTGCATTTTCGCACCTAAACTTGGAAGACTGTGTATGAGCAGCTTGTGTTTGTCTGCAAGAGGAGAATGTGAGCCACTGCTGAAAGACAGCTATTTTTGCTCTCCTTTAATTGACCTTGGAAGGTCAAGAGGTATATAATGCACCACAGAGACAAATCAGTTAGGACTGCCAGGATTGGAAACGAGTCGCCATGTGACTTCTGAGGCCAGGTTTAATAGAACATCACAGCGTTCTAATTTTAGGGCAGAGACAGAGATTTGAGCAGTAGATGAAGACATGATTTATATTTAAAAAAAAAAAAAACTTGTCATAGTCAACCCTGAAAAATAATTACAAATGCTGTCAAATGGGAATCGTTGTCACATATTTCTGTCCAGTCCTGCCCTTCAAATCACAATCAGAGAGCCTCTGCCAAGTGTTCTGTACTCAGCACAGTGTATTTAGTAAGCTTTTTGCATGCTCTTGTCAATGCTGAACAATGCTTAATTGTGCTCTGTGCACAACAGTGGTCTTAAATGAAGTCATAACAAACCCTTCAACCATATTGCATCCATGACGTCGTGTCAGACGTGATGTCTTGGGGAAAACAAAACAGCACTGCATTGTACTCCATCAAAGACCAGGCTTGAGAATAGAATAGAATATTTCCTGTTAGGGTTGAAAACAGAAGCAACACCTCACCTCACTGGCCCTGCAGACCGTGGCGTCTCTTATCCTCCACCATCTAACCAGAGAATCCAATATATTCTTTCATTTTTGCTATATTACTACCATTTCTGCTGCTGTGAAATTGAATTCTACAGACTTTCTTTTTTTTTTTTTTTTTAAATCAGCTGAAGGTTTATTTCCACAACCCAGACATCCTGTCAGGGGTTTACAACTTTCAAAGGACTATATAAACTATGAAAGTCAAAAAAGTAAATAAAAGGATAAATAAAAATACCACATTTGATTTACTGTAGATGACAACTGATTAGAGCCAAAAGTACTGATGATACAATGGTTGCTGAAGTGTGTTTAAAAAGTCATGCAACCCGACGGTGACGTCAGGGTAACCACCGACCAGAGCCCTGCCACGATAAAAGAGAGGTGCCATGACAAACGTCAGATGAGCAACTTAAGGATAATGTTACTTAATGCACCACCGCACACAATGTGACTGCCTCTGCTGTCATTAATTGGAAAAGACAAACAGTGCAGAGACAATGAGTGGCCCTGGCCAGTGTCACCTGGCCTCCTACGCTCCTCTGTGTTTTATCCTGAGGCTTGGTCTTACTAAGACGCCTCAGCAGAGGCCCTAATGTGGTGTGACGTTAGTATCAAGGCATGGTGGCCCCTCAAATGCATTCTAAAGAGCTCCAGGGCACATTTAGCTTTTTCCACATATGTCATAGCTGGCGTTGTTTCAATAAGAGATAAACATTTGTGATTTAAAAGTTTTTAAACGTCTTACCAGAGAAGATGCTTTGTATGAGGCCTCTGTAAAAGGGCTGCGCCTAGTTCAGGTTTGACAGGACCATCACTTGAATCTGTTTAAGTGGGTTTTGTTTCCAATGTTAGATCAATTCATTGTTTTTAAACTGCTTTATTTAAAAAACCTAAAGGAAAGCCTATTTTATTTGTCATGAGCTAACAGGTATACATGCACAGTGTTAAAGATGTATACTGGACTGTAACATGATGTAAACTTTGGGCTGGATTAGTTGTTTGCTCTAGAAAATTATGAAAACATGTCAAACAATTTCACAGCTCAAGGTGATACCTTGAAATGTCTTGTTTTTATTTTCTCAGCAACAGTCCAAAACCGTTCATCGAACTCAAGAATTTTTAAGTAAGAACAATGCATGCCAGAGTCGTCATGAAGGTTTACCAAACGGGGAAGAGTGAAGGTTGAATGATTCATGAGCCCTTAAGCTGGAGGTGGGCCCTGCAACACGACAGGGATTATTAAGGTTTACATTTTTAGGGCCCCGACTGAACACATGGCTGACAGCCAAGAACTTCTAGCTGTGCCCCTGTCTGCACCTGTATTGTGTCACACCAGTGGACCCTACAACTGAAACTGGAAAAGGGATCACATGAACTGGTTCATCTGGGTGTGCTAGAAAGCACTTGGTATATCAAAAAGTACCAAACTGCAATTGTAAACTAAAGCAAGATAATACCAATATGGAAGAGAGATGAAACCAAAAAAATTATAATATGGATATGGAACGTAAAAGTTAGAAAAATAGGATGGGCAGGTTGGTGCTGATAGACAGCGTTGGAGACCTGAATAAAAAGTGAAAAGGAAGACTGTAAACTCTATATAAGTTATCACCTTCATTGTACCACCTGAACAGAAAAATGAACCCAAAAACTGTTGCTGTCCTAAAACATTTATAGCCAGAGACAGTGGAAGATCATTTGTGCTGGTATAAAATTATTTCTATCCAATTTAGTTAATCTGACTTGAGTTCACTGAAATATAATGGTCACAAATTATCAGAAATACAAGAGAATGCCAGGTTTCTATCAAATAAGGCCACACAGACTTGTGGCATTTACTGTATGTGGACTGTTTACAATAACTAGGAACCAAAAACCACAGAGCATTCAATCATCTGGCAAATCTTTGCTGATGTAAAGCAACTGAAAGCTAATCAAAACACTACATCCCACAAAAGACATAGTGTAACACTAGAACTGCATCAGTTAGGCCCCCAACAAGACGCTATTAATGAGATTCTTATAATTCAATTTACCTGATGGTTATATTTCTTTATTAGTTACTTCATGTTCTTCCATAAAATGACAGAAAAGAGCGTAAACTCATCAAAATTCCCTGCCCGTCAACCATCAGTTCATACTCAAGGTTATTAAATTTAAAATGAGTAAGCCACAGAAAATCTGCAAACCATCACATGTGAGAGGCCAGAGCCAGAGAACTTTCTACTTGGTTTACTTGGGAATTAACTGAAACAATCACATATCCAAAAGCATTATGTTTCTGGAGACTGAATAATTGATTCAAAGTATTGCTTCAGCTCTACCCTAATGCCTGATACATGAACTTTTACTGTGCCAACTTTAAATTTAAATGCTTAATCTTAATAAAACAGCACTAACGAGTTAAACGCTTAAAAAAACAAAAGACCACAGTCATCTTAAATTCATTTAGTGCTCAGCATAGTTTAATAACAGGTTTAAGAAATTTTACTAAATGCATGTTGTGTGTACTTATATCAGTGTCAGACTCCCAATAATCATTCAAAACTAAACGGGGTTCTATATGACTTTTACCACTGAACGTACACCTAAAAAGTGAAACAGAATACAAGCAAAAAGCAGAGGAAACAAGATACCCTGTACCTGCTCACTATTATAATTTCAGACACGCAGGTTCATTAAAAAGAGGCAGGAGACTCTAAAAGTGTTAGGCATCAACTAAAGGCAGAGATAAATAAATAAATAAAAATAACAAGCAGGTGGGTAAAAAAAAAAAAAGTTGAAGGCTATTTAATCCTCTAACCAGCTCAGTTCAGTTTGTCCTGTTTGGTTTCTTTTGCTGGAAGTCGGTTAATATGTCGCAGAGGATTTTCACACTTAAAAAACACCAGTGTCTTTAATCCTAAACCAGTCGTGACTTACAAATGATGCTTAAACTTGGCCAAAGCGGCTGTAATTTCACTTCTCCTTTATTTTAGGCTCCCAGGACGCCTACAGTTTTCATGCACACTGGCTTGAAGCTGCACAAGCCAAGCCTACAACTCGTTTATATAGTCTCCTCTTATAATATTACAGTTGTGGCGCATAATAAACAATCGGCACACGCTCTCCTGTCCGGTGACGCCAGATGCCCTTACCGTAAAAGGTATTCCTGGTGATCTGACCTCCCATGGCTGGATGCAAGGTGCGTTCACCTCTCCCTCTAACTGCGACCTGGATCCACAGTATTCACATTCAGCCTCGCGTCCTCAGCAGCGACATTATATGGACACGACACTGTTCACACACGCACAGGGGGGAAAAAAGAGTCCCGACAGTGATTCAGCGTCAGGTTGTGTCTATCCAAAGATTCATCGACATCAAGCAGCAGCTCACAGCAACTAACAGATCCAGCACGCAGTGGCTCACTTCAGTCCGCGCGGAAATTAACATAAAAGGTGGTAGTGGAGGTGGAGCTTCACAGGACTATTGACGCTGTAGTCACCAGAGCAGACTTCAAGAGCGTTAACTAGCAAGAAATAGTTATTATATTCCCAGATTATATAGACACTTAAAGCACAGTTATCTCCAGTACAGTGTTCTGTTCACATTGTACCACTGCGAGGAATCACTCATCCAACAAAGAGCTTGTTTTGTTTTCGTTTTTTAATACTTTTTATTAAACTGTAAAATTTCTAATCATTTTCATAATCATGCTGTGTCCTCGTGTTCCACAGTTCGTGTAGTGGCTGTTGCTGGTGCACCACAGTATATCAAGCACGTGGCGCTCAGTTTTCCACCCCACTTGTTGCCCACCATGTGTGCTGTCCCTACTATCTTTTCATCT